AAATAAATAAATAAATAAATATTTTACGTGAGCCGCCTGGGGTCCTTTTTTTTTTTAAAGGAGAAAGGTGGGGTGGAAATAAATGAATGAATGAATGAATAATGATTTAGAAGATGGCCACATCTCATCTGCACAGAAGCATTTCTTTTTATATTCAGTGGTGCCTCGCTAGACGATGATAATCCGTTCCACTGAAATTGCTGTTTAGCGAAATCATTGTCTAACGAAAAGCATTTCCCCATTGGAATGCATTGAAACCTGTTTAATGTGTTCCAATGGGGAAGAATTGTCGTTGTCTAGCAAAGATCGGCCATAGGAAAGCCATTTTGCAAACCACCGATCAGCTGTTTAAATCGCTGTCTTGCAAAGCTTAGGTCCAGAAAAAACCCGTTCTGCAAGCGCGGAGGGAGCTGTCAAAATCGTTGTCTAGCGAAAATCGGTTTGCGAAGTAGGGACCAAACATTGTCCAGCAAAATTCCCCCATAGGAATCACTGTTTTGCAAATCACTATAGCGATCGCAAAAAGTCAATGTCTAGCGAAAAAACTGTCATGCGGGGTAACTGTCTAGCAAGGCGCCACTGTACTTTAGGGCCACGGTCCTGCAGGGAATCGGTTCCCAGCCCCACCTTCCAGGGGATGCTGCAAAATAGGAATGCCGTGAATGCTATACAGTAGTTTGAGTGGTCTCTGGTACCCTCTGGTGGCTAGTTCTGACAAATACACCCTGGGAATACTTAAAAATAGGTATTTCTGGGTTTTTTTGTTTTTAGCCAGTGGATAAGTGAATCAGCGGATACTGATCCCGCAGGTAGGGGCCCCGACTGTAATGGATCAGTGTTTCGTGTTTTATCTTTTCAGTGGTTCTGAGAAGTCTTCCCCTGAAAAACTGTGCAAACCCACCCGCACAGAGGGTAGGGTTTCCATTGAGCAACAGCTCCTTTTCTGCTTTCCCTCTGCAGGTGATAGAAGAATTTTACAATGAAACGTGGTACAGCCGCTACGGGGAGTACATCAGTCGTGGCACCCTCACCACGTTGTGGTCTCTCTCCGTCTCCATCTTCTCTGTCGGAGGGATGATCGGATCGTTTTCCGTTGGGCTCTTCGTCAACCGCTTTGGACGGTGAGTGGTGAAGCTGCTTGTGACCCTCTGGCTATTCCTGGACTGCCTATCCCATCATCCCCTTCCTTCCCTGCCTCTGAATTCAAAGAGAGTCCCACCTCTTTGCTCTGTGCTTCCCCCACCCTTCATTGTCTGTTGAAGCCTGTTGCCGAAGGCAGTCATGTTTTGTAAGTTTGCTGTTTGATCTGTTCAATTGTAAGTAATGGAACCTACTCGTATACTTTCTCCCAGTAACATCTCAAGGTGGGCTTACTGAGACTGTAAGTCCCAGTTAATAAGAAAAAGGGGGTGAACTAATCTGGGGGACTTGATGCTATTCTGCAACCAGAAATTCAAATTCTGCAACCGTTGTCTGGGCGAATGCTGGAAGTTGTAATCCTCCAGCTCCCCTAATGGAATCATTTCAAGCTCTGCAAATTTAGAGGGCTGTTTTAATGGATGTTGTTGAGCTCCCTGTCCTTATGTTATTGTGGTTGTTTGGTTCTTGTAAACTGCCCAGAGTGGCCTTGGCTGATAGATGGGCGGTATAAAAATCAAGCAAGCAAGCAAGCAAATACATTTTCCTTCCCTGTTTTAGGCAGGTAAAGAAATAAAAAAATTAGATACGTAACTGGAAGCAGATCTAATACCCCCACAGAGCCTGGTTCATTATTATCCACGGGTTTCGGCATCCGCGTGGAGCTTCGCACTAGGGTCCTACTGCCGTAACTGATAGTTTCCATGACCTCTGCATGTTAAGCAGAGGTCAAAAGATGAATCCCTCTTGACTCGGCTTCCAAGCTTTGTCATGGACCCTGGCAAAAAGATATCAAAAATCAAATATCATAGCATTCTGCTTTAAGGTGTGTGTGTGGGGGGCTTGCCTTTCTCTCCGTAATATGTGGATCCTCGTGCTGACCTCCGAGCTTTTCTCTCCCAGGCGAAACTCGATGCTGATGTCGAACAGCCTGGCTTTCCTGGCGTCCGTGCTCATGGGCTTCTCGAAGATGGCCAGCTCCTTTGAGATGCTGATCCTTGGCCGTTTTGTCATCGGGGTGTATTCCGGCCTCACCACGGGCTTTGTGCCGATGTACGTGGGTGAAGTCTCGCCCACAGCCCTCCGTGGAGCTCTCGGGACCCTCCATCAGCTCGGAATCGTCATAGGCATCCTGGTAGCGCAGGTAAGTGGGCTTCCCAATCTCTGTGGAGTAGGGAGGGGGGAAAGCATCTTTACCCCTGCTTTATGGAGGATTCTGGGTTCTGTTCCTTTTTATTCTCTGCTCAGTGGTCAGTTGCATACATGCGCAACTTTGAGCAAGGGGAAGATGGTACGGCGTGCCTCAAAAAAAGATTTTATTCCTTATTTGTTAGTTGGTGATAGAGATGGGCGCGAACCGCCAAATGTGCAGTTCGTGCCAGTTTGTTTATTGGCCGAATAGGTGTTCCCAGGCCCGCCTCCTCGGGCAGGCACCCACTCAGAGGGAGCATCCGGCCCCTGCCAAAGGAGGCCGGGCCAGAAAGCGCTGAACACCTGTCCGGATGAAAAACGAACCAGCACAAATCTCCGAACCGGTGGTTCAGGCCCATCTCTGGATAGCGACTTAAAACATTTACAGCTTGCCCTCTGTCGCAACATCTCAGGGTGGGCTACAGAGCTGTGTAAAGCCATTTTTAAAACACTAAAACAGGTAACAATATCAGGACCAAACACACATTCGAAGCAACAAGACATGACAATCCATTTAAAAAAAAACTCTCAAGCAGCCACAGTCGCTAAGGGAAAGCTTACCTGAGCAGAAGGAGCTTCGCCTGCTTGCAGAAGGACAGTCAAGATGGGGCCAGGCTGGCCTCCAGTGGCAGGGAGTTCCAGAGTCTGGGAGCAACCACAGAGAAGGCCCTTTCCTGTGTCCTCACCAGACATGCCTGGTTGCTTGTTTTCCATCTTGCACTCGCGGAGGATCGAGATCAGATCCTGCCCTTCCTCTGTAGGACTCCCTTTCAATTTTTGCGAAAGTGCTCTCCTCTCCCCCTTTGGTTTTTCTTTCTTGGGGCTAAGGCGACTCCTCCTGGCCTGCCTTCCATTTCATGCAGACGAGTCCTTCGCTTGACCGCACCAGACGTTTCAGAGATATTTTCCGTCTCCACTTGTAAGCTGTGTAAATCTCCCTGGAATGGGTGTGGAGATGCCTGACGTCCGAGGTCCAGTGGTTGCTGCCAGCTGAGAACATCTGCGGCCCTTCTCCGATCTGAAACATCACCGGGGGGGGGGGATAAATGTCTTTTAACAGACTTGGAGGGAGGAATGCTGGCTGGTTTGGTTTAATCCTATTTCTTTTTCACACATGCTTCTGTCTGTGGGTGCTGCATTCCACCTCGCCTTTCTAGAGGGCTCTGTACTTTTCAGTCCACCTAGAGAGATGGGGAAAAGTTACTTTTTTTGTGTGCGGATGAAAACAAACAGGAAAGAGGAGAGACTTATGCCATGCCTTTAACCCATTCAAGGGCCCGTGGGATATTCGTGCGAGAAAGAACAAATGAGTGAGCATTCAAAATGTGGCTGAGTTTTGAACTTGAGTTAAACTTCTATAGTTGTACCGGGAAATTCAGAGAATAGGACTGTTTCAAGTTCCACAATTTGGTCCACCCCTTTTTCTCAGGAACTGGCCCCTACAGTCTCAGGAACGCACCCTGAGACCCATGATCATAGGAAGAATCAAAAGTTTCATTCCAGGCACATCCGCCCATCGAACAGCAAAGTGATAGCCGTGATTGACTGTTTTTCAGCCATAGAGTTCAACAGCCTCGAAAGAGAGGGAAAAAGACACCGAGGAGGGAGGCGGGCCTGACTTTGAATTCAGAGGCAAGGGAACGAACAATTGGTTAGTGCTGGACAGATTGACAGTTGCCCAAATAAGATTTGCTACTAGTCACCAAAGTGGTGCAAGGCTGTTGCTTTGCAGTCTCACACACACACATGTGCGTGCGCACAAACACACCCCATCCCTGTCTGATGCTCCTCCTCCTCTCCCCCCACCCCAGGTCTTCGGCATGGACTTGATCATGGGTAGCGCGAACTTATGGCCGCTCCTCCTGGGCTTCGTCTTCATCTTCGCCTTGATGCAGTGCATCTTGCTCCCCTTCGCGCCGGAGAGCCCCCGCTTCCTCCTCATCAACCGTAACGAGGAGAACAAAGCCAAAAGCGGTAAGCTGTAGGCGTGCCCGGGGATGATAGGAGTTGCAGTCAGGAGGGGGGGGGAATTGGACTTTCTCTGCTTTTTTTTTTTAAGGTCGATATATCTTGCTTTAAAAACAAAATTCTGTATTTAAGTTCTGTACATTGGGATGTAGGGAGTAAGAACTCAAGGCCATGGAGGAGACAGACAGCCCTCCTGTAAAAAAAAAAGCTGTATGGGCAGTGTTTGGATAAGTTACTTTTTTCAGATGGCAGCTCCCAGATAGCTATCATACGCGCGCGCGCGCGCGCACACACACACACACACACACACACACACACACACACACACACACACACACACACACACACACACACACACACACAAAGAAGTGAATGCTTGAATGTTCTGGGATCTGTAAAACTGCTGTGGCGCTGTGTGGGTGCCGTCACTGACGCTAGCCCGTCAGTGCTTCGCAGAAGCTGGCTTTTGCCTTTTCGGGCGGACCCTTCCCAAAAAACCCTTTTAAAAGATTTATTTTGAAGCCTGTTCCTGAAGGTGGGAAAACACGGCTGAATTGAATGGGCTTGAGAGAGCTTCCAAGGGGTCCCTCCTTTTTCTCTTGAAAACTAGATTAACAGAAACAGGCAAAATGCCACTGTCTGGCTTCCCATATATAGTACCACCCTGCTCTCTGTGGCATTAGTATCTACTGATTCATTTATCTGCCACCTGAAAAATGCTAAATTAAAAAATGTACAGTGGTGCCTCGCATGACGACATTAATTCGTTCCAGCAAAATTGCTGTCGAACGAAAACACCGTAATGCAATATTAAAAAACCCATAGAAACGCAATAAAAACCCAATGAAAGCGTTCCTATGGGCTTCAAACTCACCGTCCAGTGAAGATCCTCCATAGCGCAGCCATTTTTGCTGCCTGTGCAGCGAGGAATCTGTCCCAGAAAACAGCGGGTGGCCATGTTTTTCACCTGGCGGCCATTTTGAAACCGCTGATCAGCTGTGCGAAAATCATTGCTTTGCGATGATCAGTTACCAAAGCAGGGAACCGATCATCGCAAAGTGAAATTCCCCCATGGGGAACATCGTCATGTGATTTCGTCATCAAACGGAGCACTCGTAAAGCGAGGCACCACTGTATTTATACCTATTACCTGAGTGTATTTACCTGAAAGGGCCAGTAGAGCGAGCCAGAGACCATATAATGAGACATTACATGGTCTTGGCATTTGCTACTTCTGCTTTTTTTCCGGCATCCACGGCGGGGGGGGGCTTGGAACCAATCCGCATGGATACTGTGGTCCAATGGTCATCTTTTTAGTACACCCTGGACTCTAGTTTTTTCTTCTTCTTCTTTCCACTCAGGAGCATGACTCCAGTTTGCCCTTTTTTAAAGCCCCGGGCCCCTTCTGTTTTTTTTTAAAATAACTTTCCCCCCCAAAGTCTAAATCGCAGAGGGTGACGCTGGGGCTCAGGAACGCATGGGGGGAGCGAGGAGCGTGATCCGCCGGGCGCAGGAAACGACCCTCTCCTTAAATTCCCGTTCTTCTCCCTAGTTTTGAAGAAGCTCCGAGGGACGACGGACGTCAGCAGCGACCTCCAGGAGATGAAGGAAGAGAGCCGGCAAATGATGCGGGAGAAAAAAGTGACAATCCCGGAACTTTTCCGCTCGCCCATGTACCGCCAGCCCATCCTCATCGCCGTCGTCCTCCAGCTGTCCCAGCAGCTTTCGGGCATCAACGCGGTAAGGGTGGCGCAAGGACAGGGTTGGCGTGCGGTCCTTTTCCCAGAAGGCTGGGCTCCGGAATGCCCCCAGGGCATTGTGGGTGGAAAGGAGGTGGAGTAACTTCTCCTTTTGCCTCCAGGCCGGTGGTTCTCAACCTGGGGTCCCCGGTTGTTCTCGGACTACAAAGCCCAGAAGCCTTCACCCCCTAGCTGCGCTGGCTGGGATTTCTGGGAGTCGTAGTCCAAGAACATCTGAAGACCTGAGATTGTTGGTATAAAGCGGTGAGCATGCTTCCCAGCCTTGGGTGCCTGGATGTTCTTGGACTACAACTCCCAGAAGCCACAGAGAGAGGGGGGAGGTTACAGGTGGTAGACACACTTTTGGCATCCTGGAACAAAGGAACCAGGGCTTTTTTGGTGTTTTTTTTGGTATATCAAAGAGAACAAGACAAAATACGTTCACCCCTGCAAGTCATTCCAGCTCTGCTAGATTTCTACATGCGGGGTGATTATTCTGCAAGACAGCATGGCTAAATTTTAATCCCCAAGGCATCAGGTTCAGCAGTGTGGCTGCTGTTCAGGCTATCTTCTTCCCAGCATCAGAAGTTGGCCAGCTAGAGGAGAAGTGAGGGGTTCATCTTTCCTCAATTCACCTGCTTCTTTGATTTTTCCCCCCTAGGTGTTCTATTATTCCACGAGCATCTTTCAAAAATCAGGAGTGCAACAGCCGGTCTACGCCACCATCGGCTCAGGGGTGGTCAACACGGCCTTCACGGTGGTCTCGGTGAGCATTCAACTTCCTTCCCGTCAAAGGGTGGGGGGATCCTGGGTGAAAGAATGGGGGTGCCCCGTGTGTTCAGGCCGCTCTCTCACTTTTGGTCCGAACTTTGCGAGAGACCTCCGAAGTCATGAACCCTGCCTCCGGAAGAGGCCCAGCCTCTTGAAGAGCGGCTTTAAAGTTCGGGCTAAAATCCGGAGCCAATAGCCTCTCTTAAGACATACCCGACGTGTATCTACGCCACAAAGACTTTGCTCATGCAGAGATGCGACAGGCACCTCCGGAGGAAAGCGCTTCCTCACCCTGACAATTGCCTTTTGAATTTGGCCCCCTTCATTTCGTGCCTTCTCTCTCTTTGGCAGCTGTTCGTCGTGGAGCGTGCAGGCCGGAGGACGCTCCACCTCGTGGGCCTGGCAGGGATGGCGGGCTGCGCCGTTCTCATGACCATCGCCTTGGCGCTTCTGGTGAGTGCTGGTTGGCAGAACGATGCTGGCAGGACCGTTTTGCTCAGGGTCTCCAACCCATTCTGCTTTCGCTGCTTTAAGGAAGCGGGTGAGGCCCAGAGCTTGGAGGCAGCTAGTTACGAGGACTTGTAGCTACCTGTTTGCAGTTACTTTGAGAGATAACAAGAGTGTAACTAAGTTACATTTCAAAAGCAGCAGCACAGTTAGCAACATTTTCTAGTTACTTTGAAAAGCTAACTTCTGAAGGACATTTTAAGGCGTTTGGGAGACAGTTGCTTAGGAAATTTTCAAGTGTTACGCCAGTCTCTTGACAAAAGAGTCTTTTGTTTTGTCTTGTTCATTTTGTGTTTTCAAAGTGCAGTATCAAAACAGGCCTCTAGAGGGAACCAGAGGTCGTTCCTTATATCTCTAGCAAAGTGTTGATGGCATGTATGTAACCCAATGGTTTAATCTCACAAATGGGAACAAAAAGGATTGCCTGGCTGTTTTAAAGTAATAAAGTCTGGATGAGGCCCTCCAAGCTTCTTTTTATGGCTCGTGCTGTAAAAGCTGCACACTCCAGGAGTAGCTGAATAAGCCCTTTTAAAAAAAAAAATAGTATTCCAAGCTCTGGTGAAAAGACATCTTTAAAAACCAGCTTTTAAAACACTTCAGTGTTTATTGTGATGATTTTATGGTTTTGCAGCGGAAGCTATTCTCCCCATGTCTTTATGTTTCTGTTTTTAGGGTGCTTGCAAACAGTCCTGAGCGCTGTTTTGCAGTTGAAAGTGAGGGTGGACATGTAATAAAAAATAAAAACTAAATAATAATTCACAGGAAACTTATCAGGTTAAAAGCCACTTGAGCCGAAAGAAGGGTGCCTTAATTTCTGGCAGTGCTGTGGGAGGCCAGGTGGGCATGTTGAGCGTCTCCAGATCTTAAAGACTACAAATCCCAGCTTTCCTCAGCAGTGACTAGTCTGGGTCAGGATGATGGGGGCTGAAGTCCATCAACCGCTGGGTGTTTAACTCACCTTAACCTGGATTCCTAGTTCTTTTTTCTCCACTTCTGGAGGGAAAAGCCCTGTGGGCTTCCACAAATTATGGTCTACCTCCTCCATCATCCTTAGCCCTATGGTTGTGGATCATGGGAGTCCGTCCAAAACATTTAGGAGGTACCAGCTGACCAAAACCCCAGGCCTCATCCTGGCACTTGGTTGAAGCAAGAGTGCCCCCTGCTGGCGAGGAATCTGCGCACGAGGCCAACCCCTGGCCCTTCTGAGGACATTTGAGTTGCAACTCCCATAAGCCTTTCCCGTTAGCCAGGATGATGGAGGCTGTAGTAAAAAAAAAAATTCAGGCCCTCTTCTCTCCCGTCGCTTTTGAGGCAAAGCATGGGCTGGTTTCACTTTGGTCTCTCTTGAACTCGGCTCAGGCACGCGTCGGTTAGAAAAGCAACCCGCCAGTTTTCGTACCCCACTCTACGCAAGAACCCAAGAGCGGACGCTTCCCTTTTAAATAGATCATGGGTAGGGGGGCGCTTTGCACCGTTTAACCTCCTCTAGCGTCCCCCTTTTTTCAACATGGGGGTGCTTTTTGGGGTCCCGAGAGGTGAAAAAGAGGGGTCCCCGGACTTTTTAGAGATGCCTTATCGGACAAAGCCAATAGTGGTGAATTAGAGATGGTTTTCAACCTTACACACTTCTGCGAAAAAGGTGTAACCCTTGACTGTGATATCTCTTTCTCCTGAAATCCCCCCCGCATCTTGTAGGATCAAATGGCCTGGATGTCTTACATCAGCATCATCGCCATCTTTGGCTTCGTGGCGTTCTTCGAGATCGGCCCGGGCCCCATCCCGTGGTTCATCGTGGCCGAACTCTTCAGCCAGGGCCCCCGGCCGGCCGCCTTTGCTGTGGCTGGCCTCTCAAACTGGACTTCCAACTTCATCGTGGGCATGGGCTTCCAGTACATCGAGGTGAGCTTTCGCTCGGGATGGGGGACTCTCCCTTGAGAGATAACTAAATACGTATAACTGCAGGCCGTAGCGCGTGTAATGGGTCAGAGTTTGGGGGGGGGGAGGCCTAAAGTCGGGGTTATTTGATAGTAATAGGCAGCAGGGCCTCCTTATCCGCGGGATCAGTATCCACTGATTTACTCGTCTTTAATTTAAAATTATAAAGAAACATCCTGGAAGCATCGATTTCTAAAGTTAGCAAGACTGACTACTAGAGGGAGCCAGAGACCCATGCTTGTATATATAGTTTGCTATATAAACAGTGTTCACTATAATCCACGGTTTCCAGCATCCGCGGGGGGATTGGAACTGACCGTGCTCAGATATGGGGGGACTTATTCTGTTAGTCCTTCAAAGAAACTGCTTGATTTCTGTATTTCTGGGGTAGGCCGTCTGGTTGGAAAAGGAGATATATGCAGAGGGACGCATGCAGAGATGTCCGGCAGACTCCTCTCTAGGCACACATTATGATTTGGTTTGCTGGAGGAGAGTCACAATGTAAATGTAACAGAATAAATAAATAAATGTTGGAGGTTTTAGCCTTGGGGTTGGTGGCCAACATCACTATCTCACAGAGGGAAGCAGAAGCCGTTTCCATGTGCTTTCTTGGGCTTGCCTCCCTCTACAAGAGTCATCTTAGCAAATCTTTCCTTCTTCCTTTGTATCAGAGCACTGTGCAATTCAACACCATGGGCAGCACGAAATTTAACTTACTTGACTTAAAAGTGGGACTTGGAGACCACTCTTGGCAAGCCTGAAAACCATAAAAAGGCTAATTTTAAAAGGGTTTTTAAAAAATAAATTGTGCTAAAATGTTAAATCATAAAAAGCACGCAAAAGAAAAACCAGATAGAAACAAGACTAAAACAAAACAAAATAAAAGCATCCCATACAACCCTAGATCTTAGCCTGTATAATCAGGTACCTTTGTTGATTTCTGTGAACTGCCGGAACATTTCCATATTATTCTTGGGTTGTTTCAAATACAGTGTGGCATTGATAAGAAAATAAAGCCTAAAATACACAAAACCTCAGCTATTGAAGATACAATAAAGATTTTGCTTGCCAGGGAAGATATTAGTCATTCATGATGTGATCAAGGTTGCATCATCATCATCATCATCATCATCATCATCATCATCATCATCATCATCATCATCATCATCATCATCATCATCATCATGTTTCTATGGAGGACTCGTGTACATTTCCGGTTCTGTTTCCTTATAAGTTTGTTTCTCTTCGGGGCAATATATGTGAACTGCAAGCTACTGTGTGAGGTCCACTGGGCATATTTTGCCGGTAATACAAGTTTCTTGGAGCGAATGGACGTCATACGATATATTTTTGTTTGTGCCTTTTTGGATATTCATTGTGCCAGCATTGGTTGGCGAATGCCCGCTGCATTTCTATAGCGCTGCTGCATTGATATAGCGCTATATTGATAGCGCTGCTGCATTGATATAGCGCTATATTGAGCCCACTTTTTTTCCCTTGCAGGAGCTCTGCGGTGCCTACGTCTTCATCATCTTCATGGTGCTGCTGATCATCTTCTTCATCTTCACCTACTTTAAGGTGCCCGAGACGAAAGGCCGCACCTTCGATGAGATCGCCTCCGGCTTCCGCCAGGGGGGCGCCAGCCAAGGCGACAACAAGACACCGGACGAGTTTCACAGCTTGGGGGCGGACTCCCAAGTCTAAGAGCGAGAGAGACCTGCTTGCCTCTCCTTTGCTTCCCTTCTCTTCCCGCCTGTTCTCGATGCTTGTAGCAGAAGCCAAGTCTCAAGGGGAAGTGAGCGCTCCCGGCGGCCGCGGCCGAGCCTGGGTTCCTCGGAGAGGGGGGGCGCAAACTGACACCTCCCTCGCTAAGAACGGTTAGCTGGTTTCACGTCCAGGATTTCAATGCCGACGCAATGCGGAAGCAACGGCTCGTTCTCAGACCAAGACTCCTCTGTGTTTTGTTGGAGGGGAGGGGCGGGGGGTGGATTGACGGCACTTCTTTCCTCTGCGACCCTTTTTGAAAGGCAAATGAAAGCAGGAGCCCACCCTCCGCCATTGCAAAACTGGAAATTTAGTATTTTGAAGTACAAAACCACACACACAGACACAAAATCAATGGTTTATGATTGTGAAAAATCAGCTTTTTGGGGGCGGGGAAATCAGCATTTTTAATGGCTAGGGAATGGGGAGGGATTCGACTTTGGTGCCAACTTTTACCAGCATCCAGGCATGAAGTGGCTGGACTTTTATTTGACTTTTTAGAAAGTTTGTGGGCCCCGAATTAGTCCTTTACCTCCAGCATTCTCCAGTGTTCCAAATTATCTGTTGCAAAAACACAGTTTTACTCCAAGTAAACTCTCTCCCTTCCTGCCCCAGCGTTTTCTAGAGAGCCCAGCAAACATCGAATTGCTTGGCAGGATGGGAGACAGGATTGGGGAGTAATGCATTACAAGTAACTTACTTTCATTATGGAATTACTTCCCTTTTTTAATTGTTTACCAATATGGTGGCTTTCTAACGGTGACGTGTCCAGGAAGCTCCCATGCAATGCGACCTCCCACGCCTTCCAAATGGATTCAGAGATAGACTGTCTCTGAAGCTGGAGGCTCCATTGAACAAATGCCTTCATCCCCTGTTCACAACAACATTCAAACGTGAATTACATGTTTGAAGGATGCCTCGAGGGCAAGAAGGAAGCCCAGATAACACGACCTAAGCCATGCATATCAACTTTCTCCCCTGAGAAGGCCCTCCCCCATTTTTCCCCCAAAAGACACAGTTCTATTGTGCCTGATCTTGTGGGGCCCCCAACTGGCAGTCTTTGCTTTTAATACCATCCTGGATTCAGTGAACCAAAAATCAATCAATCAATCAAACAAAAATACCAGTGAGAATTGTTGCACACATTTCCTGCTTACTGTTGTATAGACTGGAAAATATTTATATTTTATATATATATTGTATTTTGTTTTTTGTTCCAACCGTGTTAATAGTGTGGTTTCAGATGGACAAGCAACTTACTGTAAATATTCTTGGATTCTATTCACACACTGTATGATAAACAGAACTAATTTCTATAACAACTGTAATGCAAGACTTGTATAGGATTACAAAGACCTCTAACATTTTTTTGTAGAGATAAACTCACCTGCACTGTAGTTGTATCTGTTGCACTGACATTTTAGATTTTCCTTGTTATAGAACTTTAAACAAACAAACCCGGCTCCCTTGAAGAAATGTATTTTTTAGAAGCTCTTGAGCAGGTTTGCAGAAAAAAAATGAAAAAGAAAAAAAATGCACACACAGCTATTTAATAGTCTATTTTTTATTTATTTGTCTGTTTTTAAAGTGGAGAAAAAAAAGACTTCACACTTGGAGAAAAAGCCAAGACGTTTTTAGGAATTAAAAAGAAGACAAGCACACGGACACTGTTGTTAACTTTGTATTGCGTATCTGTGGTGCGCCATTCAGAGGAAACAGCATGAGCTAAATAAAGGAAACGAGTGTTTGAAAGCCCCCAAACTGTGTTGTTTTATTTTTGACTGTTGTGGGAAATTCTGCTATTCGACGGGGGCAGAGGAAGGGCCGACTTGAGATTTCTTCTGCAGCTTTCTGAAGGGGGGAGGCAATTTATATAGTAATCATCTTAGAACAGTAGGGCTGGAAAGGGACCCTTAGGGTCATCCAGACCAACCCGTCAAGGAGGCCCGATGGGGGATTCGAATTCCCAATCTCTTGCCATGTGGGCTGTGTGTTGTTTTGTGTTTTCGTCAATCAGGATGCTAAGAGGCAGTGGGGTCAGCAGCTGGGGGTCAGCAGCTTGGCCCCATCGAGGAGGGGAACTGGAATGGTTAGGGGGCTCAGGAAGAACAAGATGCCTTTAACCCCAAATCGCTCTCTGACCAGGAGGACCCGACTGCTCACCCTTGAGACATGCTCACTGTGTCATTGCATCGCCCAAAACTCAGTGGCTGAAATCTAGGAGGACGTCTGCACAAGAATAGGCCCATTGAATTAGCAGCACTGACAGAAGAGCTGAGTCACCAGATCCCATGGGTTTACTCCAGATGTGACCTACAATTGGATTTTAGCTACTTAATAGGAGGTGGAGTTTTGTAAAAACAGCCGGATGGAAGTTAAATCTCACTCATTGCTCCCATCTTAACAGCAAGCTCAACTGCTGACAACCCTGGGATGCAAAACAGGCACCGAGAAACCAGAGGGAGGCCCTCGAACCATCCTCCATGACCCTGAAGGTTTGCAGAAACAAGTCTTTAAGGGGAAAAGCTGGAAGTCCTTTCTTTATTGCCAAACCGAACCAATGCGAGCATGGCCCGCTGAGGGTTGCGAAGGGGCCCTGGGACAGGAGGAAGTGTTGGGGGGGGGGGAACAGCATGCTTGGCCAAAACCTTAAACTAATGGGCTCCCCAAATTTCCACTGGACAGCTAGGGACGGAACCGCAGAATTCAGCTGAAAGGGAGAGTGGTGGCGGTTTGGGATTGGGAAACTCCGGAGACACTTTCTCGGGGATGGGGGGAGGTGGGTTGTAGTTCAGTCTGGACCAAAGACCTCACATTAATTAATTGATTGATTGGTTACCCTTTGGACTCAAAGTGCCTCACAATATTAAAAACAATAGAATCAGAAACACAAGTGATACGTTAAAAAACAAATTATAACACTGAGTCAAACACAACTGAATAATTAAAAGCAGGTAAACATTCAACACGCTCTTCGCTTAGAAATGGCCTTCAGGGACTCCGTCCTGATTGTTAAAAGCCTGCCTGAAGAGGTGGATCTTCAGTGGTCGGCACAGGGGGGAACAGCAGCCACCCTGGCCTCCCGAAGGAGAAGCATCCCATAACCTGGCAGCCGCTACGGAGCAGGGCCTCTCTGGTGCCCTCATCAAATGTGCCCGAGCTGCTAATGGGGCCGAGAGGAGGACTTCACTGGGCGATCTTGAGCGCCGAGAAGGCTCATGCAGGGAGACGCTTGTGGGCTCTGCGAACTGGCCGATTCTTGCACCACACGATGCCCTTTAAGAAGGCACCACTCAGAGCAAAGGCAGTGTCAGCCTCTCCTGGTCTTGCACGGAGAAGAGGGCCCCTCACTGTGACACCTGTTGTTCGAGGCCTGTGCACCATCGCCAGGATGCAGCCCTCCCCCCTCCTGTGAAGATACAACAAGATCCCAGTCCTCATACTTCTTGGAGGAGTGCTGATTTAAACAGGAAACCAAGAAGCTGCAGCTCACAGGCCAAAGTTCTTATTCCCTCCATCTCGGAATGGCGTCCAAGCCCTACCTGCGAGTATCAAGGCCTGAACGAATAAACCTGTGCGCCCACCCCAGCCAGAGGGTGGCTAGGCCACATGTCTTCCCCAGCACACATCGGGGCAATGGCGTATTCAGACTCACACACAGTAACTCAAATCAAGAAAGTCACCTTTAATTGAAACCCTGTACATTTCTACACTTTGTCTAGAAACCCCTTCCAAACGATTGTGGAAGTAGAGTATGACCGGGTTCAAGAATGCTGGGATACGTTTATGAAACTGATTTCAGCCTCAGCACTTTGCGGGAGGAGGCTTCTGTTTTCTCCCTCTGCCCCATGTCACTGGGCTGACTTAACCGAGAGGTCTGGAGCTACTGATAGGGATGGGGTTTTTAGATTTTTCCAGACTATCAATCCCACCATCCTCCATTCTATAAATTCCACCTGACAGACCGACAGCTAAATGTGGCTCACCTGGAAGAAAGGCCTCAGTGGGAAGACTCAGAGACCTAGCTAGGCCTAGCTTCCTGTTCAGAAAGCTCCCAGCTTGCACTGGGGCAGGAAGAGGAAGCATGAGTGGAACTAGGCCTGGACAACACTCAAAGCCTTCCAGTTGAGGCCTTTCTCTCAGGTGAGTCAGATTTCCCAGGTCAAACTCCCAGAATAGGCAGTTATGGGATCTGTAGTCCAAAATATCCCTAGCTATTGATGCCACAATTCTGTCTTAGGGGCATACCTGCTCTGCAGTATATGGGCAATGTTGCAGACTCTAGACATTGTCTAGGACATGGAGGTGAGTGTGTGCACCCACACATGGATGGTTAGGACAGAGAGCCTGAGCTGGCAAGGCCCCAAGAGGTCCCCGGTTTGTGCGTCTACAAAGAGTGACAATTTAATTCAAAACTGGATTGCGGTGGTGGCAAAAGGATGGGCAGGCTGCCAACCAGGGGGCAGGCAGGTCCCAAGGAGTGTCTCGATGCTCATCGAAGAGAATGGTGTCACTACTTGCCATAGACGGGCCTGGATTTCATTAGTTTGATCAAGCGGCGGAGGGATTCATCCGGCTCCCGTTTGGGCAGCTGCTTCATCATCTGCAGGACTCTTGTCACACACTCTTGAGCCTGAACGGAGGCACAATAAGGAGAGGGTGAAAGAGGGGGGGGGCGGGTTTCCCAGGAGGAGAAACAAAGGATATTAAATCCAAGGAGACATTGTCTGAAATGCTTGATTGGCATTTGCCCATTTCTAGCACCAGGAACACAGTATTCTTTTCTTCACACCACAGAGAGTGCAGAGGCCTGACCCGCCATCCTTAGTCCCTTGCATTTCTCTCCTCTGCCATCCCTCTTCCCGGCAGAGCTCAAAATCCCCACCAAACAAACAAGTAAAAGCAGATTCAACGGTAAAATCACCAGGATCAAACCACAACGGAACAAGTTCATTAAAATTTGCAGACAGTTGAAATCATTCCAAAAACAAGGAGGGAGGGAGGGAGGAAATTGCTGCATTGTACACTGCTGTCTATCCCTCTAGCTCTCTATGCCCTTTTCTGATAGGTGCCATTCCTTCCCCCCAGAATTACATGTCTCTCTAGAGCAGCAGTTCCCAGCCTGTGTTCGCCAGAAGTTCTTGGACTACAACTCCCAGGAATCCTGGCTGGCACAGCTAGTGGTGTGGGCTTCTGGGACTTGTAGTCCAAGAACTCCCAAGGACCTAAGGTTAGGAACCCCTGCTCTAGAAGAAAATGAAAGAAACTGGAATATTCCCAAACTATTCCCAAACCCAGTCACTTGCTTTTGCATGGAGCAACTCTGTCAAGCTGCATGGAACATTTTAGAGAAAAGTGGGCCTAGTATAATGGAGCCCAGATGTTCACTGAGTGGTGGCAAAGGGTTCTTGTTTTTGTTGTCATGAAAGGAGAGAAAGAAATCGGTGGAAAGTCTCTCGGTTACCCCCTCTCATCAAGATAAATATTAGTATTAATAGATATCCACCCCTGTGGAAAAAAAATTAATTATTTAATCAACTTGTCTTTCTCTTTGCTCCCAGGACCTTGTAGCTCATTGCAAGATTAAAAGCAGGCATGATGGCTATCAGAAGGTACAGATGGAGAACAAAGTGCTAACGCTAAGACGGTTTTGTGTAACTGCAAGCTGGAGACGGCGAGGGAGCAACACAGAGCCCTCTGGGTGCGGAAACTGGGTGCTCTACATTTGTGAACATGATTCTACCCAGTTGAACAAAATGTACCATTAGAACGCCATGGAACTGCAAAAGCCAGAAAATTAAGAACTTCTTTTTCTTGCTATGGACACCTACTTCCTGGATTTGTCAGGAAAAAGTCTCGGATGCCACCGTAGGTCGAGTGCCAAGAAATCCCTCTCCTAGAGAGAGCCACCTTCCGCCGGTAGTTCTACCAGATTGATCCCACGCTATCTGTCATGGCCCCATCCTATGGAATCCTTGAGTTTGGTGAGGACCTTGAGGCGCTCTACAAAGAAAGCTCGGGTATCCTTCCCTAAACTACAGCATTGTGACTACAACTCCCAGGATTCCACAGGCTGCAGCCATGACGGTGGTAGTGGGATCCAACGGTGTGGTCTCAGGCCATGGTTCCCAACCTTGGATGCCCAGATGTTCTTGGACTGCAACTCCCAGAAGCCCTAGCCAGGACAGTGAGTGGGGAAGGCTTCTGGGAGTTGCAGCGCAATAATGTCTGGGGACCCAAGGTTGGGAACCACCAGTCGAGGGCCTGCTCAAGAGACGCCGGGGAGCCCATGCGGGTCACAAGGTGGACCTAGACCGACAAGGAGTTGGACTGGCTCTAAGGCAATGACCCTCCTGTGTCAACAGCTTGACTCACTTGCCTTTGGCAGGTCCCGGGTCAAGTAATGAAGCATGGCCAGGGCGTGGACCACCTTGGCGATCTTTGCCAGCTGCGGCCTCGCGGACTGCTCTCGCATCTCCAAGATGGCTCCCAACATCTGAGTCGCTTCGGCTTTTTCCTTTTCATCTGGAACGGGGTGAGAAACCGCAATAAGGGCGGCTGGCCTCGGCCTGAAAGGGCGTGTGGGTCACCCATGCTGGTGACAGTGCCGAAGCGGAAGGGGCCACGTTGGCAATAAGAAAAAATCTGAATATCCGTTTCACGTTTCACCGGTGTTAAGGCAGGGGTGGGGACAGGAATGGGCTTCTGTTGCAGAAAAAGCAACAAAGAGTCTCGTGACGCTTTAAAAACCGTTTGGACTTAAACGCTCCTGGATGGCAGCTGGGAATAGAGTTAGATCAACCTCCACGAATATCCAACTTACTCAGAGTCTCGTCAGCAGTTTCCACTTCTTCGGACAACATGTCGATGGCAGCGGGGGTCATCAGCGTTTGATACTGGAGGTCAATCAGATGGCAGAAGTGCTGGTGCCAAATGTCAACAACCTGGGGAGAAAAAGAGCACGGAGGCCATGACAGAATAAAAAAGGACTGTTGGTATCATTTATTTGTCAATTGATTGGTTTATTTTTATTTTATTTAAAATATTTTAACCACACCTTTCTGCTAAAAAAAAGGACCCGAAGGAGCTCATTAAAAAGACAATATTAAAAGCTAAGAATGGTAAATTATTCCAGTATTTATTTATTTATTTATTTATTTATGTTTCTTATATGCTGCCCACTCTACCCATGAATGACATGACATTAGAAATATTAGGAAAGCCGTATGAAAAACAGATTTATAAGAAACAAAATGTAAACCATCCTATTTATTATCTCCTAGACAGTCAGTCACTTACCTTGAAGACAAAGATCTTCACCTGCTTGTGGAAGGAGAGCCAAGACGAGGCCAGCCTAACCTCCAGTGGCAGGGGGTTCCACAGTGTGGGAGCAGCGGCCTTCTCGGTGGCTGCTCCCAGAGACTCTGGAACTCCCACCCACTGGAGGCCAGCCTGGCCCTGTCTTGGCTCTCCTTCCACAAGCAGGCGAAGACCTTTCCTCTCCAGGCAGGCTTTCTATTAATAACTAAAAAGTGGGTTTTTCCAACTAAATTGCCTGTGTTTTTATCAGTTTTTAATTTGTTTCTATCACTGTTTTCATCTTCTTAGCCTTTAACATCACATTTGTTTCAATCATTTTTATTCTTCTTTGCTTTGAATGCTGTTTGGGTTTTTACATATTGTAAAGTTGCCTTGTACCCTTTCAGAAGAAAGGCGTGGCATAAACATTTAAAATAAGTAAATAAGAATAAAATAAACCTTTCCCCGTAGAAAATGCATCCCAGTTCCCTGACCATCCCAGCACTTTTTGTTGTTCACCCGTCTCCCTGTGCTGACACGATCAAGAGGGGAAAGGGTGGAAGGCAAGCGGAGGTGACCGGATTCCTTTTCACACCAACCGATTTGAGCAGACTGACCTCTGTGTACAGGGAATCGGCAATGTCCATTCTGTTCTGTCGGAAGAAAACGTTTGCCATGTGGAAGTACCCTCCGGAGACCGCCACGCTGTTGGTCCCAAAAGCGCAAGAGGCGTAGTAGACCTGCAACCAGAGGGATCAATAAAGTTCCCAGGGAAAGAGGTCAGGCTGAAACAAGGAACTAGCAAAAGCAAAACGGGGGCCATCGTAAAGATAATGACAATGACCGTCATCATTCCCAGTGCTACTATACCATTGTTGCTAATACTATTAATACTGGTATTTATACCCCATGCATGGCTGTCACAGGGAGAGTCGGGTCTGCCCTATGGTTTAACAGAGCCTTACATCATTGGCCAGATGGCGTAAAGACTCCTCAAAGTTCCCCCTGGCAGCGTAGAGGAGGCCCAGGTTGCGATGGAGATTAGACTGGGTGGCGCTGCTGGAGTGAGGGTTTTTCAGGATGATCCAGTGGGCCTGCGAAAGATATTCCTCTCCTTGAGGCAGGTGCCCGAGGCCTGGAAGGGAGGGAGATAGGATGGGAAAGAGAGAGGGGGAAGCAAGAAAGGCAGGAAAAGAGAAAGGGGAAAGGGAGGGAGGGAGGGAAGAAGACAAACAAATAATTAATAATATCTCATGGATGTGTTTCCAGCACACAGTGACAAGCCCACAAACATGAATTCTTTACCATGGACTTACACGGACCCCAGTCCATTCCACGGGATGAACAAACAGATGGCAGTTTAACTACATAGACATTTATACATATGGTAGAGGGACGTGGTGGCGCTCTGGGTTAAACCGCAGAAAGCTCTGTGCTGCAAGGTCGGAAGACCAGCCATCGAAAGATCGAATGTGATGGAGGGAGCTCCCGTCACTAGTCCCAGCTCCCGCCAACCTAGCAGTTCGAAAGCATGTAAAATGCGAGTAGATAAATAGGTACTACCTCGGTGGGAAGGTACAGTAATGGCATTCAATGTCTAGTTGCACTGGCCACATGACCACGGAAGATTGTCTTTGGACAAACGCTGGCTCTATGGGTTGGAAACGGAGAGTTGGACACTACTGGACAAATTGTCAAGGGAAACCTTTACCTTTACCTAGGGGCTTAATGGAAGTACAAAAGGATTCAGCCTGGTGATGAGCTGCTGGATAGCTCAGTGGTTCAGGTCTCTGGCTGTAGAGCCAGAGGCCAGGAGTTCAAGTCCCCCACTCTGCCTCCGTGGCATGGGCTGGGCTAGATGAACCCTTTCACCTTGCCGTTCCAACATGATGATGGTCCAAGAGTGGTCATTACAAGTCATTTAATAGTCATTGGGCAGCAACAAGCATATTGAACTATAGACGAGGAGACTGACTTCATATGTGATTTTAAAAAGGCTTCACACAGGCAGTGTCGAAGAGTTTAGCCTCTATATAAAGGATTGCGGTGCATCAGAGACTGAAATATGAAGAACAACGGTGAATGGAAATGCAAAAATGACAGGGAGGAAAAAATTGTCTACGCCGTGGCCATTAAACAAAACGACGCCGAGTTGTAACACCCTGTACTGTAAAGTAAAAATTTTGGACAGCATATTGACGCGCTGCTGTTAGCAGGAGGGGCTGTCAATTAACAGTAGAAATGTATTCTCAGCCTGGACTGGACTGTTGTTCCCTGGGAATTTGTAAACAACGGTGCTTCAGCCATTGAGTTTCTACAGGGACAAGCGGGTAGATTTGCCAACTCTTGGGGTCCTTTCCAGCTTGTGGTCCATTCTATGCTTCAGTGACATGAATTACTTTGGCAAACCTTGGATACACTGACATTTCCGACTTGTTCATCAGTGGTTTGAGTGATGGCTACAATCCTTCTATCTCTCATTCTCTGGGAGGAAGTGGTTGCCAGCTCCTTTGTCTGCTCTAGGTGCAGAGTTGGTTCACACGCCCTGATCTACATACTGCAGAGTTCTACAGACCGCTGAGCTCCACCTTGAAAACAGCAGGGAGCAATGCTGTCACGGCAGCGGCCAGACTCACCCAGGCTTGCCTCAGCTAGAATGAGATACGCCGGGACCAGTTCCACAGAATCCGAGCCATAGACGCTGATGCTGAATTTCAGGGAATGCAGGGCTGCTGGGATGGCGTCCTCATGCTTGCCTTCAAACAGGAAATTCTGGGCAACTGTATGGGTCAGTCCTGCCAGGAACTTCTGTGGAAAGGAATAAGGATCATCGGCTACTGCTGGCAGATTGATTTTGAAGGAGGCTTCTAGGAGCTACAATTCCTCCCTCCTTCCTTTGCTTTTTTTTCAGGAACAAGAAAAAGCAGGGGAAGGGTTGGGCCACCTAACCCAAAATTTGGGACAGTCTAATCACTCGGGGCCCTACAACGTTTGAAACATATCTCTTGTCCAGATCCATAGAAAGAAGTTAACAACAATGTCTTAGCAGGATGGCACCAGTTTGGGGAGATCCTTGCACAACAGGATCACTCTTCTCCATAAGTTAGAGAAGGCTTTAGGAAAGCAAGTGCCTCTCAAAGTGCTGGTTCAGCCAAGTCAGAGGCAGGAAGTGCCCAAAGGGAGGCTGCCTGTAATTCAAGTCCTACTTGTTTTTCCCTCTCAGTTTCTGGGCACAGTCCTGGCACAGACCTTAGAAAAGTTGCTTGGACTACAAAATTGCCCAATCCCCCTAGCAATATAGATAAAGAAAAGATAAAGTCCAAAGCAGGATGGAGCATGGTAGTGGTACCCCGATCCCAAGACATAGGGAAGAAAGTGACATACGTTAGTGCCACCAATTACCTTCCGTATCTAGAGAGGAATTTGGTGAAACACCCCTGTTGCGGGACAGTCTGTGCTGCCTTGAGCTTCCCAATGTGGCCTCAAACAGAACAAGGTCCGCATGGGATGATGAAGAAATGACAGAAAGAGTTCAAGTGTATCATGTGTTGAGAGTTACAAGTTTTTGCCAGAGTTGAGTTATTTGGATCCTTTTTATGTTAACAATCAAGAAGTGAAAAGAAATAATGAAACCATGTTTGAGCCATTATCTTCTTCTCTGTCCTTTTTTCCCGCTGAAGAGAAGGGTCCGCCCCTCCTAGAGAAAGAACCCAGTATTAGTCCTGTCATTTTTTTCTCAGTCTGACCTACCTTACAGAGTTGATGTGGAGATAAAGCGAGAGGAAGATGGCCTGTTTATTTATTCGTGGCAGAAAAAGAGCAATAAATGTTAGCAAACAAACTCTGTAAGTCATCTGGCTCCTGATTCGCACCATGGCCCCTAAAAGCCCATTTATAAGACAGGAAGGGGTCTTTCATTGCTGATACCTTTCCCATTTCTGTTGTTTTCAGATATTCTGAACATGGAGGTCCCCGCGGTTGCTTAGAGCCATGGATGGGTTTAATTCTTTTGGACAAGGGATACAGCAATAACAACTGATTAAAACTGAGCATTTTATTTACCCAGTCTTTGCCTCTTAGCTTTGCATGTTTCTGTACAACTGGAAACTCCACCACTTTTAATTATCATCAAAACAACGAAGGTCTCAACACTTTTACGCTGAACACACCAGCCCATTGCAGATAGCCCACAAACATTCATCTCATGGGCTTACCTCTCTGCTGATCTTCTGCTCCCGCCCATGCTTTCTTTCTTTTTCAGAATTGTAAAAAGGGAAGGCTGTGCGCAACGGAAGGAGCAGCGAGCAGATCTTCTCATGGATGCTGACCCAGTCGGCACTCTGATGTTCTACATCGCTAAGAGCAAACCAAGATCCTGTTATTAGGAGGTGCATGGGGGGGGTAATTTCATGCCAGTTTCATGTTTTCCTCTGCTACAATAATTTCCAAACTGGAGTTAATCAGCCCATGTGCATAGCTGTCTGTACAATGGATTGGGGAATCCGTGGATACTGATCCTGTGGATAAAGGGGTACCACTGTACTCTAAAACAGTTTATGACTTCCAAACCTTTGAGGGCTGGGGTATATATATATAAGCCATGCCAGAATTTGAACCTTGAATTATGCCAAGAAATTAACTGGTGGCTAACAGATGCTGCAACTGGGGAGTCGCACGTGCCGTGCAATCTGCCTGCAACATTTTGGACCATTTAAAGCAGGACAAAGTCTGGCCATCCAGATCACATCTGGGTTAGACAGCCTAGACATCTGCAGGGACACAGTGTCAGATTTTGGAAGTATTCTATCAAGCTTCTACTGAGTGGGAGGTCCTGCCCATGTAAAAAGATGGGAATGTGCTGCTTCTGCATGGAATACTGATGTGAAGGCAGCGACTGCTGAGACAAGGAAGCGGCTGTGCCTGGAGCCACCTGGATGCTGCATCAGCACTAAAATAAGGAATGGGGGCAGGAAGGCAGCAAGCTTTCTGCCAGCGGCAACACTGGGATACAGTAATAATAACAGCAAGCCTTCGAGAAGACAAGAACAGCAATTATTCCCCAACCCGACCAGGATATGCCCGATAACTCCTTGTCAGTTTCCCATCTAGGCCTGACCATATGTAGTTCCCAAAATCTGGTGAGATGAAGCACTCTCTCAAGCACATCAGAGGAACAGCTGCCTCACTTAGGAAACTATGGCACAAGGACCTCCATATTTGCGGGGCATCGCCTCCAAGACTTGTGGATGCAGAAAAACGCGGATGATAGTGAACACTATACATAGCATGGTTTCTTGCTGGTTCTGGTAACTTCATTGATAAATATATATATATTAGCCATGGTCTGAGAACATCGACCATATTAAAAGAAATATTTCTGGGAATGTTTCTTTTAATATGGTCAATGTTCTCAGACCATGGCTAATGGATCAGCAGATACTGATCCCTTGGATAAGGAGGTCCAACTATATTTTTGCAGATAGATAGATGGATAAGTAGGTAAGTAGATGGATAGTCATTACCATGTTCAAGGTCCTCTGGTCAAGTTTTTTTTTTTTTTTTAAAAAGAAAGATCAGTTACAAAAAATCGAGTTTAAGGAGGTTATTTAGAATTCACTGTTAATATTTACAATAACAGCAATTATTCCCCAACACGGTCAGGATGTCCCTGATAACTCTGCGACTATTCACAGCCTTAAAAGGGGAAGGCATCCAGGGCAAGTCCTTCTCCCTTGGCTATCTAGGGCGAGGCCTCGAGTCAGGTTGATTGCAGAGAAGAGAGGTGAACTTTCCATTTTTTTTCCCCTGAAGAAAATAACACGAGTTTTCTGGGGGAAAATTTCCCTCTTTAATCCGGAGTAAAGCTCCTCAAACCTGCCATGACTGGGGAGGAAGAGCAGGAGGGCGGGAGGCTACTCGTGAGTAACCCCTCCAACTGTTATCCGGGAAGGGTGTCGACGATTGGGCGCTGCCGGAGCTACTGCTTCCCCGGGCGAATGCCTGCCTGCCTGCGCTCACCAGTAGTAGGTGACCCCGCAGCGGCCGCAGCGCACGGTGGCCGGGGCAAGGCACAGCTCGCAGTGGAGCTTCTGCCCGCGGGGCAGCGCCAGAGGGGCCAGCGCCTCCGTCTCCATCTGGCGCTCTCGCTCCGGTTGCTAAGGGCGCGGTTGCTAAGGGCGCCGGAAGCAGGAGGCGGGGCTTCCGGCGCCCTTCAGCCGGCCGCCGCGCTCCAATCCACGCCGTCCAGCCCAGTCCAAAGCAATGGAATGGCTAGAGCGGCGCTCCGGAAGTATCCCCTGGGCCGGGCAACGGCTATTTACAAGGGAGGAGCTTTGGGAGGATAAAATAATGTAGGATGTAAATGGAACGAGCGGAGAATCTGTTTTTATACGCAAAGCCGGGGAGAAAGGGGAGACGGGGTGTGGTGGAAGGCGGCCGCGGAGGTTGCTAGGGCAACGGGAGGGCGCCTCGGGGCGGGACTTCCGGCCAGGGGCGGAGGCGGAAGCGGAAGCAGGAG